TTCATGCATTATTTTTTGTCCACGTTGAATCATTTTATCTTCATTAGTTCAACCATTTTAATGATTAATCAGAAAGCATTTCAAAGGGTTATTTGTGACAGTTTTTTGCCATTTTAATTATGTAAATTTTCGTTCATTTTAATACCATTTTTCCGTTACAAATTTTGGCTGGGAAGCAGTTAATAACAAGAACATAATTACAACTATATCAGGAGTCGCGACTCAAGCCCAAACAGATCGACTCTGTTGAGACGATTTATTTTACACTCATTTGAAAGCATTCGTAATAAACTTCTATTGTGCGTGAAACTAATCATTGAATATGCGAACCAGAGCAAGTAACTAAGATCAGCAAACCTTTGTTCAAGTTCTACTTTTATACTTTAATTTTTATATCACTAATGATCTCATCTTTGATATTAAAATTAAAAAAACAACCTTTCTAGCATCTTGTACACACTTTTCCTTGAAAAATTTTGATTTCAGTTCAAGTTGATATCAGTTGAATTCAATTCGTCGTACTATTCATGTTTTGGATTTAAATTCATTTTTCAAGAAATATGGCTGCCATATTCAAAAAGTATTTTGATTCAGTAAAAAATAAAGTGAAATCGTCCTATATGAACAGTCCAGTTGGTCTGGTGTTTGATCTAATTGAAGCAAAGACCGGTGTTGAATCTGCAATCGTTGCTATTGGTATATTTTAAATCATACTTTTCTCATTTGTCTCATGTTTTTATATCGTTACATAGGTTTACTTGTTATCCTTGCCATTTATCTGATGTTTGGCTGGTGCAACGATTTCTTATGTAACTTGATCGGATCAGTCTATGGAACATATATCTCGTGAGTAGAATTTCTTTGAAAACATTTTTGTTCTTAACTAGAGTATTGTTGTAAGGTGAGATACAATATTTATTCGGTATTAATTTCTTCATGTAAACGCCAGATACAGAATAAGAAGAATTTAAAAGCAGTTATAATATTTTTTTCGACTGCAGCAAACGTATTGTACATCAAAATCATGATCGATCACAATTTAGAAAAAGAAAAACAAATGAATGCATCTAAATTCATTTGTATATGGAATTATATTGATGAGGGAACATATCTAGGTGTCAAATCGCTTTTGGATCGAGTATATACTCAAACGATAGACCTTAATGAGCTATTAAACGTACTATCAGGATTTGGTTTTCCAGGCTTTCTGGGCAGACTACTGTGCTAATGTATTCCATATCTTGACTAAAATTGCTTCGATCCGACTCAAATTTATGTCATTAATTAGTCATTCAGTAGATTAAGATCTTAGACTTTGAAAATAAATCAATATTTTTTTATCGAAGATATGAATTTGTTTGGTATACCGATCGATTATTAAAAAAACAACATATGTTCTTGCTGTGCACTAACAATTCGAGGACTTCGTACAAACTAGATCCAATATTTCTTTGTTGTTGGCACCAGAAAAGTCGTTTGAACCTGTCATTCGATTGGAAACTCTTTCGGAGAGATGTTTCAAAATACGAACCATACTGTTCATATTTTTATGTGACTTATTAGTAATAGTAGTAAAAATCATATTTGGGGTTAAATATATATAGAATCAGAGTTTTCCTTGAAGGTTTCGGTCATCAACAATTCTATGCAAATGAATTATTCAAAGAAAAAAGAAAAGAGTTTATTTCCATCAGTAAAATATACATGCAAGATATCAACATTTTGACGAAAATTAAGTTTAGTATATCGGTGTCATATGTTCTATAGTGAAAAGTACGTGAATTCATTCTTCTGATTCTTATTAATTGAAGCACCCAGGCTTCGTAGCAGTACTACTTTCCTGATTTTTCCTGCTTTTTTAAAAACATACTGTTTTTCCTGCTTTTGACCGAAAATCTTGATTTTCTCTTGATTTTTCATGATCCATCCCGATAGAGACTATATCTACTTGATCACGGAATGTTGTATTTTTATTTTAATTAGTTTTTTTTCAAAATGCATAGAAAAATATTATAGAGAGTCGCGTTCACTTTGCCAACAGGTACAGTTTGCCGACAACATTTGTCCATATCTTAGCTTACTAAATCTGATAGCCTTTTGAGGGTGAGGATGTAAGAGTGCAGTGATGAGCGTGTCATCATTATGCTGCTTAGCATGAAATTTACGAATCTTGAGCTGATCTTCAATACAAATTGTTGTAGCTCGTGCAGTACATTTCATTTCCTTTTGTTCTTTGCGTTCGTAGACTCGGTACTAGAAATCATCGCGATTTTTGTCTTCGATGTAGAAAACCCCTTGATGTTTATTTCGGGTTGTCTTTTTTAGATTTAATCACTTCATCATAACTGCCTGAAATGCTCGCACTGTTTTGACTTCAAGTCATAATTAAATTGTAGCTTATTTCACGAGTGACAGATGACTTTTAAAGAATTTTTAAGAATTCAAAGTTTCCTGTTTCGCTATATTGTCCCGTACGGCTTAAAATTTTAACGCAGCTTATCAAGAAACTTCAGAAAAAATCGTAACCTTGAAAGTTTTTGACACAATATTTTCAACAAAGTTCAATTTTTTTGACTTCAAATTTTTGTCGGCAAACTGTACCAGACCCCTTTTTATATCAGTCCACCCTCCATAAGCATAGTTGAAATCATCTGTGCGACATACAATGCATCAGAACGAACTGGTAATTTTACCTTTTGTTTAGCCACCGAGAATACACTAACAGTATTATCTAATGTGTGCAACCATTTTGACCAAAATGCTGTGTTTTTCGGCATTTGAAAATGTCTAATCAAAGGAGGACACTTTTCAAAATTGAATCGCTATAACATAATTATTTGTTTTATATATGGAGAGAGGATAACAAATTAGAATAAAAGCATAACAATAGAAGAGAACGAAAAGAAGTCAACAGTGCAGAACGAAAAGTGTATGTATCTGACTAAAACAATAAGTTCCTGCATAATTCATTCTGTTTTAACAAGCTTCAGTGTCTATTGCAGCAACCTACATTTTAATTGTAGCTAACCATGATTTTGGCACTCACTTTTACGCAGATTTGTTCCCAAAAAAATCAATATTAAGATAAAGTTTATAATTCCTGATTTTTTAAAAAAAATTTCCTGTCTGCTATCCTGCTTTTGAAATCTATGCCGCTGCGACCCCTGAGCACTGACAGACGAGCTGACATTTCTACATGCATGCTAACTATGACAGGGATATCTACTGCAAATATCAGATGAACCAATACTTTCATTAGTGAATAAGTGCATATGTTATTTTCTTAATAATCAATCCGTATACCAAACAAATTCATATCTTTGATAAGAAAAAATGGATTTATTTTCAAACTCTAAGATGTTGATCACTACTGAATGACCTAGTAATTATATAAATTTGAGTCAGATCGAAGCAATTTTAGTCAAGCTATGGAATATATTAGCACAATAGTC